AAAATAAAAGCTGACATCCACCAATTTAGTTAACACTTGTTTTGAGAATTAATTGTGGATTCCACTGACAATGGTTAAATCCTTGCTTTTAAATTCCGCATTATTATAGATAAGAATTCCAGCTCGAGCTTTCGATTGTTCATACGCAAATTCAGTATTAGACAAAATTCTGAATCCATTTACAGTTTGCGGATTCTGTTGACATTCGCGGATTTCGCTTACAAATTTTGCGGATTTCACTTACATTTGCGGATTTCACTTACATTTTGTGGATTCCACCTACAGTTGCGGAATCCATAACAACTAGCTATATTCGCTTGTTGCGGAATCCGCGGATCAAAAAATGTGCCGACAAATGTTCAACAAAATGATCAACAAATGTGCCGACAGGTATTTGTACGCGGAATCCACGGAAGTTTTGTAGGTGGAATCCACTGACATTTTCGAACATGTTAAAAGTCTTGTCTCTGGAATCCAGGAACAAACAGACACAAAACTGTGCGCCTATCCAGTGCAGAATTTGGCCTCGTAATGTGCCGAAAATCAATAATATTTGCTTATTATTCACGTGTGATTTATAGTTTCAGAACAGACTTTTTTCAAGCAAAAATGCAAAAGAAAGATTTAGTACAGTCTTATACTAGTTCTATAAATCCCATAACATTAAATTTACTATCAAAAAGCATCACTTTTAATGAAGATTTGGTTGATGCGCATTGCTCAATTAATATTGATACACTATTTCAATTGTTATATGTTTAACTATTAATGCTTTTGCCCAAAATTACACTCCCCCACAATTTCAATTAAAATTTTTTCAAATGGGAGCACAGAAATCCGTTTTTGTACCGGTCGAGATATGACAGACCCTGAACCATCTTTCACGACTATTTCCACTTCGACATCTCTTACCAAACCGTCTCTTCCTGGAAAAACGTCTTCAGGTATACCTTAACTCATAAAACCTGGTTGAATAGGACTCAATCGCCAAAACGAGATCGTCATTTTTGAAATTACGTTGATAATTTGGCCAACGCTTGTAGAGCACCATTCCAGGCAAATAAGTGACCTGCCACTTTTTGCAGAATTCTTTCAAAAGGTTTCAACCAAATTAGGTCCAGCTGACTTGTGATTATGTGAACCAATGAATGGAGAATAGCCATTAGAACTTCTCCCTAAGTGAGAATTGTTTTGAATTAGAGAGACATCGTCATAAAGATCATAAAGATGAGCAAGATTGCATTTGCTTGGTCTCACGTTAAGCAAATTAGCAGTCTCAATAAAACAGTTTGAAACTCGGCAACTGACAAAACTTGCTTGTCAATAGATATTGTCAGACAGCTTTTAACTGAAGATATCGGCAAATCAAGGCAAGCCTGTCGCCATATAGCTCCACCTGGAGCAAATTCCGATCGTAAATCTATGATAGGCAATAGATTTCTAAAAATATTTTTGAGGAGTGCAAAATTTTTCAGTCTTATTTTGTTAACACAAACCAATTGGGTACCAGAAACTGAATAAATCCCTTCAGGTCAGCCTGGCAAAACAATAAATTGCCTCAAAAGAAGTAAATTTTTTGTCAGCAAAAAAATCTTCCGTAACATTTAGATAGATTGCTTTTAAAAACAGACACATTAAGGTTAAATCAAAAACATTTTTGAAGGTCTTTAAGCCTCACTTAACTTCGTACAGCCTAAAAAGATCAATAAACACATTCGTGAAAGTTAGGAGTGACTCCAGTCGCTCTGATGTTGGACTTGAGAGCGACTAGAGTCACTCCTAACTTTCACGAAATTGTTTATTGATCTTTTTAGGCTGTACGAAGTTAAGTGAGGCTTAAAGACCTTCAAAAATGTTTTTGATTTAACCTTAACGACAGTTTCCAAATAACAGTTTCCAAATAATTTAGATTTACAGTTTACTCCCAAAATCTCAATGGAGTAACAATCGCTCAATCTATTTTCACAATTAGTGAACTTCACTTTCTCAAAGGAAGAAGTGTTCAGCTCCCTGATCAGTAACCCGAACACGCCTTCCAAAAGCACTTTTATACAACTCGAAGTCATTTTTATACTGTATAGCAAGAGATTAATATCGTACCAGGTAAGTCCCTAATAAAACCGATGCCTGAAAATCCATGATCTATAGGAAAAGCGTCCGGAAAAGTGCCATGAGTTAACGAATTGTTGCAAGATGCAACTGACACAATATGCATGCGTTCTGCCCTTAAAGCCCTCAACATCTAAAGAATATAGTTTTTTTCATGACAGGCCACCTCAGATGAAAACAGGTTTGCTAGACAGAGGCAGTTTATGCTCGACTGAAATTGTAGCAGCAGAATCCCAAAATTACAAAAGTTTTTCATGCGCGAGCCTGGTACAAAGATCAATTGGCTTTGTTTGCAGAAACGCTTCTTTGCTAGTAATGAGTAGACTATATTCAGTAGCAAATTCTTGAGTATTATCAATGAGAGAGGTTTATAGCAGTTTATGATAATTTTTTCCGCAGTTTAGTTGCTCACACAGCTTTTTTATTTTAGTTAACAAACAATCAAACCACGCACAATTCTCTTTCACTCAAGCAGATTTTTTCAACTTTTTTTGGATAAGCTGTTGTATTTTACAAACAAGCAGTTATAGTCAAAGTAGTATTGTTTTGATATAAATTTTTTCCAATTTATCCTGCGCCTGTCGCTGAAAATCATCATTTTTTCGAAATATGTGGAGAAAACAATCAATTATCACTTTTCGCTCTTGTAGAAATCGTGAATTTTGCCGGGTTTTTTTTGACAATTTCTTCATCACAAATTCTTGCAAATCATTTTTTCTGAACTCTTCCGACAAATTTCTTCTAGCATACTAATAATTGAGCTGTTTTTAATTTCTGGGTCTCTCACCAGAAATTTAAGTTCCAAACGTGTTTTTTCGATTTTATCAATGAAATTGAGAAGACATTTTTCTTCATTGCTTCTGAAGGAACGAACTTTTTCAATATCACGTAAGAGTCTTTCTATAATTTTTCTTCCATCACCATATCTCTCATCCAGACATTTCTAAATTTCAGCAAGATTATCATTCATATTTCTGATTAGACTTTGAACATCTTCAAGGTAAAAAGTTACCCAGTCCATCAGAAATAATGGCCTTGTCATCAAGAACAGTTAAAACTTGAGTTTGATCTTTTTTGAACTGAGGCCAATCAAACCAGTTTCCACTAACTTCAGGAAATTTAATTTTTTCTAATGTGACAACATGTTTTTCATTTCAATATGATCCCCCTACCCTCCAATGTTTCTAGAGGTTAAATTGTTTGAGCATTCGTAGCAAATACAGTATCCTGTTTGTTTTTTATCAATATTTGGTTGATATCAGGTTTCCTGTTGTTTTTCAAAGTATGCTCAGAAAAAGCGTGATCGAAATTGTTTACAGTTTAAAAAATGTCTATAAAAGACTTGCTTTACAGCTTTCAAGACCTTTTAAATGACATTTTCAATGTGTTGAAAGTTTTTACAAATAGTGTTCAGCCGATTATTCACGACAGAGTTTTTTCTGTTATTTTACGAAAGTAAGCATTAACTTCTAAAATTTCCTGTTTTTAGCATCCTCGGCTTGAATTTGTTCATTTTTTGGCTGATGCTTTTTTTTCTGCTGCTATAGTTTTTAACTCCTTTTCAAGTTCATGTTATTTAGAACTCAATTTATGAAATTCATTTTCAAGGCCGTCTGGCAAGAAAAATTATCAACAGTGGTTTCATTTAAACTCAAAATGCACTGCTCTTGTTTCGGCTAAACTATGAATCCTGTATCAAAATTTTCTTAGAAAATCTGCTTTGTTTTCCTCAAATTTTTCTCATAGTTGCTGCAAGCTTTATCACAAAGTCTCTATGCAAGATATCTTGCTTTTGATTGCATAGTTACTCCTGTGGTATAGCAAACGAACCCAGTGCAGCATGATGTGAATAGCACGTAGACTTGTAATTTGTTTTTTTCGCCCGTTGCTAATACACATTTTGAACCCAAAGTTTTTGACAAAGTTTTTAGTGCATAATCACTTGGTTCTATTTGAAAAAAATTGAATTAACAAAATTTTTATTTTTTGAAAACGTTTTTAGAGCAGATTCACTTGGACAGGATCATTTTTTGAAAATTGCTCAACAAAAGTTCAATTATAATTAGGTTAAAGCGGTTTTTACAGCCGAAAACCAATATCTTTTGCTTCTTATTCACGTGTGATTTTTAGTTTTAAAACAGAATATTTTCCATCAAACATCCCAAATAGAGATGAACTACAATGTTACACCAGTGCTATAAAACTCATTACACAAATTGTACTAGAAAAAAGGATCAATTTTGTTGAAGACTTGCTTGATGCACATTGCTCAATTGAAAATGATAAAATGATACACTGTTTCAATTGTTATATTTAGTTATTAATGCTATTGCCATAAGCTCTCTAGTAGTTTGTTTAAATCAATCGCTCCTCCAGTAAAATTAAACAACAGGGATCTTAGAAAAAATGGAAAAAATATATGAAAAATAAAAATATTCAAAGAAAAGATTTTGAAGTTTTTCAACCTATTAAACACTACTTTTCCACTTTTGAATTCTTATATTGAACCATAGTGGCTAGAAAATTCTGGGTTCCTTGCACGTCAGTCGCTATCTATTTTCTTAAGCCTGATTGTTCAGTAAAAATTCTACCATCATAGAATCTCATCATGCATATAGCAAAATTCAAAAACAGAAAGTAAAAACTAGTTAGTCATAATTGTGTTTCACTTTGAAACTGACTAACTTCGTCCAAAAACAGAATTATGATTTTTAGTCGTCAAACCAAGACAATAGTCTATGAAACTGATTATATAAGACAGCATAAAACTCGTTCTAATTTTGCCAACTTTTCATAGGTGCACATGTATATATACAAAAAATTGGTATTAACAAACGCACGTTAATTCAAATTGAGAGTTTGACTATATAATACTATTAAAATAGTCTGAAACTGTACAAAATGGTATATTACCATCATTAGTTTTCTCAAAATAATCAAATCGTTTTAAGAAACCGCAGCCAAATCAGTTTACTTTTCTGATTTAAAATGAGAGGCTGAAAACTGTTCAGTACAACACTTTAACGACAAAAAAATGTGGTTATTTTTAAACATTAAAAGTTACCTATTTTTGCTTTTGGCTTTTCTGGCCGGAAAATCAGAGCAAACGGGCTCAAATCCGTCGTGTAATGTGACTGGATCACCTCACATAGAAAGTATATCAATTCAACTCGATCCATTGGGAGGCGATCAGGTTAGTTTGATCATCAACTGGAACTCATCTTCAACAGATTCAAGTGGCTCTTTGCTTGGCACGGATTCAAACGTCATTGGTTACATTAATACAACTAATTCTACTTTCGAGAGAACGGGAAATCTGAGTGACACGTATATTCTTCAAATAACTGAAAATGGTGCTCTATTGGATAACTGCTCAATCCTTCTGGAAAATCCATACAACTTGAGTTGTTCTGTGGTCAACTCGTCAAAATTCAATCTGGACTTGCCACCCACTAGCTTTGATTTGAACAACCACCGCTTCACGGATTTGATTGGTCGATCACCTCCTGATGGTTCTTCAAATGCGACTCAGACAGACGTGATTGCCTTCGACGGTTTGTCAGCAGGTTATCAATTTGTGGTAAATTTGAATGTGACTGATAATTCGACCGGAGTACAGTATGTTATATATCACACTGACAACCAATGTTCGACCACGCCTGCAGATTGTAATGTCACTTCAAATGAAGACCTCGACTCGGTTATCGTTACAAGAGAATCTAAATCCAGTGAAGTTCACAATATCAGAATGCAAATGGTTTCTGTTGTGTCTCAATGTTGCCAGTACGCCAATGAAACTGTTAACAGTAGTTATTCACTGGAAGCTCGAAGCACAAACGAGTTTTACACAGACGCAGATATTTTTTTTCAATGCGAAGCCAGAAATGGCATTTTGGGTTTGAACAACAATGCAACTTGCGCGTCGAATGAAACATCTCTCGTAATAGAGCCAAAACCTGAATCAGGAATGACTACAATTTTTGCCAATATTTCGAAAGACGGAGAGAATACTGGACTGCAAAGCCAAACAGGAGCATCCTCGTTTCAGTTTCTTGACCTTGAGCCGGAAACTTCATACGAAGTTGCACTCCACATGACTTCCAACACCACAGGAATTAATCATATTCTTCTGGTTCAATGCAACACTACTGCAGTCATCGCTCCTGCGAATCTCAACTTTACTGAAATAACAAAGACTTCCTTCACAGTCACTTGGGATTACAGCGCAGGAGACGCGGACACTTTTGTGCTAACATGTATCACTAATGGATGTGGGTTAAACTACAATGTTTCCGCTAATAGTACAAGTTACTCTTTTGAGAACCTTAAACCAAACACTACGTATGAGTTCGAGTTGAAGGCTGTCATTGGTAGCTACGTGTCAAACTCAATAACTAACAATGTAACAACGGATTCAGTTCCCGTACCTGAAAACTTCAGAGTATCAACAAAAACCGAGTCTTCAGTCACTCTTGTTTGGAATAACTTAGATAATGAAATCACCACATTTGAAATCTCTTGTCTCCAATCTAGTGTTTCCAACTGTCCTCTTAGTATAACCAGAAACGTCTCACAAACGAATGAACAGATCAACCATCTCACTCCAGGTGCACAGTATACTTTCCAAATAAGAGCCATCTTCCTCACATTTTATTCCGTTTACTCTGAGAATGTCACATTCAGAACGTACGATGTTCCTGCAGATCTAACAGTTACCCCGAATGAGCTTGGAAACTCGTATTATATCAACTGGACTTACTCCAACAATGGAGGCGGAGACCTCACTCGGTTTGAACTGTCATGTCAACCAGATTGTGGAACTGAATCTATTGACGAATCGAATAGGACCTACACTTGGAACGACCTCAGTCGAGGAACGACCTACACTTTCAGCTTGAGTGCGGTCTATGGCAATTATAACACAACGGCTATAACTGAAACTGGCACTGCTTCACCCCTTTCTGTGCCTTATAACGTTCGCCTTTGGTCCGATGGAAACAATAGTAAAAATTCATCAAGTGTGAGTTTAAAATGGGATTCCTCTGTCAAAAACAGCGACGGTGTCCAGTTTCGAGTTTCTTGCACAGGTGACACAAGCTGTGCATCAGTGAATGTAACAGGCATTCAGTACACATACAACGGCTTAACTCCTGGTCAATTATATGAGTTTCGCGTGCAAACCCTTTTTCAAAATGATTTCTCAGAACTATCTGAAGCCTTCTCAGTTAGAACAAAACTGAGTGATCCTGACTTAAGCCAAATTTTTTACAACACATCAAATATTCTCACTCTTCCGGCTTTTTACTCCTGCGCAGATGGTCAGCCAACTCAAATACTATCGAACATCGAAGCAGAATGGGGATTACTTGGCGAAACTGATTGCACTTACGACCATTTGAAAGAATTCACTTTTTCACAGAGCCCATGTGAAGAGCAAACTTTCTATTTGGATCCTATTTCAGACCAGGCTACTGCCGGAAATCAAATCAGTTTCGGTCATCAAATTTGCTTAAAATTGAAACTAGTATCAAATAATGGGGGTTTTGAAGAATCCTCAGAGGCGTTTAACAATATATCACTCTATCCCGACATTGTGGTGCACATATCTTGTCAATCATCCACTACAAGCAGTCTCACTTTTTCATGGAACAAAGGATCAGGGGTTTTAGACAGTTACATAGCAAGCTTAGACAATGGCCCTGAAGTTTCTAATCAACTTCGGACAACTAAGACGTACAGTAATTTGATTCATGGAACAAAATACACCATAAATGTTAAGTCTATTTCGAATAATCTCAGCAGTGAATCGGTGACCAAAATGTGTCGCACCAAAATTGAAGTCCCCGATTTTTCAGTTGAAGTTACAGCGGATTTCAAAGTGAGAATCACAACAAACATTGAACGGTTCAGTGATGATATGCAAATGACGCTGTATCTGATTGACAGACAGGATTCTTGTGAAGATTACACGGAATTGATAGAAGCGAAAAGTTTTTCAGCTCCGTTAACTGATAAAACATACATCTTTGAAGCTGCAGTTGAGCCTGGAAGAGTGTACTGTACTAAAGTATTGCTAAATACGTCTGACCCCGATGAGCAGAATTCTAATTTTAAAGAGATTAACACTCCACTTAGTCTGCAAATTAACAGTGTTGGTTCCACCTCAATTGCTGCTAACATTGGAGATCCACCGAATTTCAATTTTTTGGCTTTGGTTTACAGCGTCGCGTACTTTGAAGTACAAGATAACTCGGAGCAACTTATTGTTAATTCATCAGCTAACTTTGGCGTGCTGAATTTAACTGACTTGAAACCTGGAGCAAGATCCCAAATAACAGTAACTTTGACTACAATCACAGAATTACAAGTGTCAGTTGAAAGCGAGATATTTCACACAATACCAGCTTTGCCGACTGTAGAAAATGCAGAGAGCCAATCAGATAGATGTTCATTCACACTTCGAGCTGACCAAATTGTGACCAGCTTCAAGGTAGATTTCAATGATCTACCTGCGATACAAGAGAGTCCAGATCACGGTAGAACTGGTAGTGCAACGTTTACTTTTACTGATTTACAACCGCATCACAACTATTCGTTTTTGCTATCATCAATCAGCAGCTATGGTGGTTTAAGTTCTAAAGAGAGTTCCGTAATAACACACAGGTGAGCTTCGTTTTTTCCTTTTATGAGTTAATCAAATTAGTTTTTTGCCAAATTTTTGGTTGTCAAACATAACAATGGTTTCGAATGTCAATTGATTATAAACATTTAAAAACTCAATTAAAAATCAAAGTTGTGGATTTTACGTTTCATCAACTAAATGATTCAATGGCAGCGTTTTTTCGAGGATCGACACTGAAAAAGATTGTGTTAAAAATATCACATATCTGAAACAGGTGCGAAACAAAGCATGCGCCACCAGATGTTGTGACGAACCCATTCATTGAGCGAAATCTGACAAACGGTTTTTTCCGTGTGACTTGGCGCCCGCCAGTTGTGACAAATGGCCCTCTCCGGGGATACATCATAACTGTTAACTGGAGCAGAGCTGATTCTGGATCGCGTCTGGATAACACTCAAACAAAGATGTTCTCAGTGGGGACTGATGTCTCTGAGGTTTCTGTTTTCGTCCCCGAAGGATATCAAATTGGTAAAGTGTTGGTTGCAGTTATGTTTTCGAAAAATGTTCTATGTGTAATGTTCTTTGAGTAAGTTTTAGTTTGAAACATCAATTTAAAACAACAAAACTTGTCTTAAAAATTTGTCAACAAAACGTGCCGCTGGAACTCAATTTCAGTAAATTAGTATTGTCGGAGTTTAATTTTGGCTCGAAGTGTTAATTATGCTGTTTTAATTATGTTTTTACAGATGTTGAATATTACGCTTATAACGACGTGCCGGGTCTGAAAACATGGCAAAGGGACAACCGACCAATTAAAAGTGAGCCGGAAATAAACACCGAATACAAAAATACCGAAGATCTCAACTTTTTATCTTCACGTAATAAAACTTCGTTGACGCTGAAGTTCCCATGTGACCTTTTTCAATCTCCACCGAATAATCTCAGCCAACCAGACAACGCCGTGAACCCAGTCGAGTTTTTCAAAATTGCGGCCACAGAAAACGGAGTCGGACCTTACATTGCGAGTGATCAATTTTACCCCACCGATGAGTGCCCTAAAGTTCCGAGAATGGGACGCGAGCCAAGAAGTGCAGAGCAAGCTACGTGGGAGTTCACTTTGGGATCTAACGAAGGTTGTAATGACAATTCGACTTTCTACTGTAACAAAGAGTTGCAATCCGGAACGATGTATGAAATCTTTCTCAGAGCCTACGCAGATGAGGATACTTTCAAAATATTCGAAGCTGGCTCATACAAGACGGCCGATGGAAACGTGAGTTTGGAAAAAATTATTATAAGTGTTCAAACCTTTTAAAATTAAACCATCATGTAGGTATTCAGAGTGTCCACTTCTGCATTAATTTCAAATGTTGATTTTTTTCTAGCAATTCAGAGGAACGCGGTATTATGAAAACGTTAATTTATCACTATGTCTTGTCTATACGGTTCAGTACATGAGTGCCAAAAATAAAAAAAGAGTGTCACAATTTTTTTGTTAGAAAATGACTTTCACAAATGCCAAAAAGCAAAAGTCTTAAAGCAACTGTCTATATTAGCAGCAATCAGAATCAGAATACAAAACATCCGAAGCAAGGAGAGAACATGAATAAAAACATGAAGCGTCACCATTTTTCGCTTAGTACTATTTTCGGCACTCTTGCACTTCGGCACTCTTGGTCGCCTTTGTCTGTTTACACATTAACATGCCGCCCTCTCCCTCAAAAAAAAATAGATAATAAATAAAGTATAAGTTTAAAAAGTACCGATGCTCATGTCTCCTACGACCTGGTTAAGTTTTAGGCACCAGATTTTGAGGGAGAAACAAGCGCTAAACTTGCTTAATTTTAGTCAAATCCATCCAAAAATGGATTAAAACGTCTTTTTGGTTCAATTTAAAAAAATCACCTGGACGAACGAACTTTTTGACATTTCAGCAGAGATCAGAAAATCAGTTTTAAGAAAACCAGTTTCGAAAAAAAAGAAAATCAGTTTAAAAAAAAGAAAATCAGTTTCAAAAAAAATCTACATGTTTAATGTGTCAATTTAAGGCCTGATGAGTGATCGAATAAATTACTCTCTTTTCTTTCTTTCATGAATTTCCAAGGAGTTCGTCTTTTGCAGGGTTTGACAGCGGGAGCAATTGTGGGCATACTGATTGCTTTGCTGCTTCTTCTGCTGATTGTCCTTCTAGTCACATTCTTCATATGGAGGAACGTTAACAAAAAGAAAGACGACACACATGATCCCAGTCTTGATCCCTTCTCTGTACCTAACCCTACTTGTCGTAGACTCAAACCGGATGAATTGCTGGGCAAATTCAGAAAACCGATTCAACTGGACCAGTTCAGAGACGAGTGTGAGCGACTGGCGAGTAATGACAACGCAGGTTTCGTTCGGGAGTTCCTCGAGGTTCAATACGAAATGAGAGAACGTGAGTGTTTGTTGTAATTCGTCACAATTTAAGACAAAATACGTTGATAAGAATGATGTAAAATAATGAATCAGGTACAAAAGTGCTATCGTCATGTATAACAATAACCACTGTAAGTTTTCAAGGCATTTTGGCTCATTGGTTCAAAAAACTTTTGATAAAAAATTTTTTTTCGAAGCTTTTCAAGCATTTTAAGAAAAGTTATCTTTGTTTTTAACGTGTGTGTTGTATGAAAAGCTCAATGAGTTTAGAATTAAAAAGCATTACAGAAAGCGTTACCAAACTAAGCTTAATACAAAAACATCAACTTTGTTTCATCTTTTCTCATAATCCGGTAATCTGGTTGTTGCTAAATTGAAGCAATTCATCTGCACGAAGGGATAGAGCAGCAAAATTTGTTCAACTCATTGCGGAGAACCGCGGTTGTAGCTCTGCTTAAGAATAGCGGGCAATTTTTCCGGTTTTTCCCCTGCTTGGGGACTTCAAGCAACGAGCGCGGAGCACGGTTGGCCTGGAACCCCCAACCTTTAGATTGAGAGTCGGAGACTTATTCACTTGATGATCGAGTAATAGTGCGCTTTTTTTCAGCTGGGATCCCCCGTCAGATTGGCATCTGGGTGGAGAATCAGAGCAAGAACCGCTACAAAGATATCGTGCCCTTCGACCCAAGGCTGGTCAGAATTGAAGGTACACATGCAACTCTAAAGGAATCCATTCCTTCGTTTTTTATGAAGTTTGGCCTTTTGTTTCAAACAGATGAGATGGAAAAAATTGCGAATTTTAAATTCCAAAAAATAAATTTCATCAAGGATGTTCGAAACAGCAAATATTACATCCGAGGGATCGCACAAACTCGTCTATTTAAATAAGGCCCTTCAAAAATCCAGCGGCAAAAGTTTTGGCATACATTATATGTTTTGAAATTTGTGAGCGATAACTTCGGAAAAAGTGGATGTTTTGTACCCTGGCTGATCTAGAATTTTTTCGAAGAAGAATTTAAAAAAAATTGAAAATTGTATCGATCTTTTTTAAGCTCCACCAAATTGATATCCAAGCACCCCCAAATCAAAATGAAGACACTATTTCAGCCAAATTTTCTGCACTGCACGCGAATTTTGAAAAACAGGGGAAACGGCGTTTTTAGGCACTTTTTGGATGATAATTGCGTTTTTTTGGCGCGCGGTCCCATTTAACATTAGTATATTTTGGCGCCTTTAGAGTTTTTAGGGCCGGTCTCAGCAAGAGAAGATGTCCTCTTATAGTATTAAAAGGGGGAACTTTTAGGGAAAGGCGTCCTGACCATCAAATCCGCTTCTGGTTTTGTAGCTGAAAACGAAAGCCGGGAAAATTAGTTTTTCTAACAAATAAGAAATTATTATTCGAAATATTTTTGTACCACAAATCAAACCCAGTCATAAAGTACCTCCGATCCTATTAATTCTTTCGACTTAGCATAACTGTTTTCGACTCGGCGCACAGGTGGCTACGTGAATGCGAGCTACATCTCAGGAGAGAACAGTGACCAGGAGTACATTGCCAGCCAGGGTCCCCTCCCCCACACTGTGGACGATTTCTGGCAGATGATATGGGAAAAGTAAGCTCAACAATTTTCTCAACTGACGCAAAAACTTAGTATTACAATAGAAGTTCTTTCGAAGACCGTCTCTCGAAACAGAACTGAAGTATTCGTTTTTGTACTTATTCTAATGATGACGTCATTGCCTGTTGATATTTGTGTGGTAGTATATATATGTGTGTGTTGGTAGGGATGTGGTGAAGGTGGTGATGTTGTGTCAGTGCCAGGAGATGAAGAAGGGGGTGATGAGGGATGCCTGTTTCCCCTACTGGCCCAATGAGATGAGTGAGGCTCAGTGGAGGGGAAACCTGCAGATCAAACTCATCGATATACAGGTAGATAGGATAGGACACAATAAACCAGGGTTGGCATAAAGGGCGGGGCCTACTCCTTTTTTCAAGGATTCGACACCCTGAACACCCTTGATAATTTCTTTTAACACTCATTTTTAGTTGACCACACCCAAAGTTTTTGTTAGAGCGCCTTGGGCGCCGAACTAAAAAAAATCGTAAACTTGAGAAACGGAAGGGGGGTTTCAGAAATGATTATTTGGAGCGGCGTTTAAAAAACTTTTTTTAACCATTCCAGACAGTGTCTAAAACGTCATTTTTGGCCTGTTTTGTAGCAGTATTATCTATTTTGTAGCAGTATTATCCTTTGGAGCAGTATTATCTACCGGGTCCAGTTGGTAGAGTAGATTGAATTTGATGAAGAAAAAAACTTTCAAAACGTGTCATTTCACTGCTAATATGGCATTTCAGGGAGGCACTTAGCACAATGGTAAGGCGTTCAACTTGAAATGGTCAGATCGTGTATTCGATCCCATGCCATGGCAATGATAGTGTGTGAGGACAAGCTCTCACTTGACCTCCAACTTCAGGTCCACCACAACCTGACCAAATTTGGCTGCAATAGTGGTACCACGTAAAAGTTCTAGACGCAAAAAACGGCCTTGAGTCGCAAAAAACAGCTTCGCTCAGCAAAATAACACTGTCTGGAATGTGGGGAGATAATACAAATGGACTATCCTCGAAAAGGACTGTTAAGGTCTACTGATAGCTCCTCTGCGATTCGCAGGAACTACAATTATTATTATTATAATATGAAAGTTGAACTTTAACAGCAATGATTAACAGCAAACATAAAAATTAACAACCACAAAACGGTTTTTGTAAACCGTTTGAAATCGGTTTTATATCTCATGAGTTTAAGATCTCGTTCAAATTATAATATAAAAATAGCAATAAAAATTGAGCCATTAGGCCCTCGTTGAGCTAAAAGTCTACTTCTACAAACAATCTACATTTTACCTTAAGACGCTTAAAGAAATTGGTTTTATATAACAATTTATTTCACAAACTCAAAAATAAACATGCAATTTTTTTTGAAAAGTTCAATCTGAAAAAGGTCAGCAAAAATTTTTTTTATTGCTCCTCTCGAGATAATTCTAGATCCAACGTTGCTATAAGCACAGTATTGGATCTAACCCTGCTGACTTCGATGACGCATGCATTAAAAATATCAGATCGATTAACAAAGTTCAAAACATTCTGATACACAGAATTCAATAGAATAGCATAAAACAGGGGAAAAATAACGATTTTAATCACATTCCGAACCTATTAAAATTTTTGTAGAATTTCTTTGTTGCTACGCTGCTTTAATTTGCTTTTTTTCAAACATATGTTTTTGCGACTTTTAGACAGTTAAAATATTGTAGCAAAAACGGCAATTACAAATTTGAACAAGACTCTTCGTATCAGTGCAAAGCCCTGAATGTTCCGACTGCCTTTTAAGGTTTATGGAGCAGTAATAACATAGAAAATTTAAATGAAATAAAATAAAATAAAATTTTTTTTTCTGAAATTTGAAAATTTGTATAAAAATCATCCCCCCACACGCCATATAAAGTACAAAAGGATAGATTTCGTTCCTTGTAACAAATCAATTATTCCAAATAAGCTTCGTTCAACCAATTTGGAACGATTTCTAAGACGGATTAAATCTCCGCTTACGCGTTAATAGCGCTAATTATTATATCGCGTGTTAATTGTCCCAAATTTGTCAAAATGTCCAAAATGGCAATCGTTAAACCCTCATAACTTTACAAAAAATGATCACAGGTAAAATATTTTTTCAAAAATGGCTAGTTAAAACATCGAAATTTGTCTGAAGAAAAAACCCACCCCGAGCACAAATATTCCGTTACTTTCGTATCGAAATTCGGAAGAACAAGAATAGTACGTTGCTGTACATAGCACATAGCGTTCCAACCTCGATCAAAATAACTGGGAACAAAATATCGGTTTGTTTTT